ATAGATGAGATGCAGATCCGGGTGTGAGCCGTGACTCAGATACACCATCGACTACCATACAACCTACATACAACGCTACTTACCCGGCCAGCCAGCCAACCAGCGAATACTATCAACACCACGTCTGTTCTCGTGACATGTTTCAGCAAATGTGGCAAGACATGGAGATGAATTCAGTGTAAAAGGCCATTGATTCGCAACGATTATTCCTAACGATTCATGAGCTACATGGACACTGCAATGCTAGTGTCAATGTGTTGATGGAGTTCAGTCTACACTCAGACGTGCTGTGGATAGCGGCAACGCAGGTCACTGAAACTTCCGGTCAATCAAATAACTTGGCATCTATACATGTGAACCTATGGAAAGGGGTCCACCGGAATGAAGCCATCGTGAAGGTGTGAGAATGTTTTTTTTGCAACATACGAGCCAAGTGGACGGGAGGATCGGGCTCCAGCTCTAAAGCGGACCGCGTTACTCGATCGTTACCCTATAGAATCCACTGACGACGCATGTACTTACCTCAAGCGACTTGACACCACGATGAGGCTCCATTGAAGGGCGAGTCTGGAAGAATCCTCCAAGGCAAGTGGGGTGAAAATGTGGTTCAGCATTGCGGCCATCAACCACCTTGATGAGAGCAGTACGATTGCTGCTGAAAGACCCTGATGATGATGTTTTCTGGTAAACCCAAATCGACGAGATCCTAACGGTAGGTGAGTAGGTATGGATGTATCCTCATAAGGCACAAGGGCTGTCGTCATGCATGAGCACCCTGTTGAACCTAGCAAGTTTTGAGGTCTTATGCAAGGGACTGCGGATACATCTTTGCACTTACCTTGCAGTACGCAGAAAGAAGCCTTGCTGAGCAGCCATTGCCATGTCCGTTGCCGTCTCGACTCCTGAAACACCATGAGAAGGTCGCGGAGCTTGCGGCGATCACGATTGCCAAGGCGATACTGGGCTGAATCCATCCAGAAGTTTGTGGAAGATCGGCTGGGATTCGTCGGCATAGACGTGCTAGGTTTGCTACCTGTTCTCCCTACCCAGGCCCTACCGACCAGCGTAACAAGCCAGTGGGGGCGATGATTCCACGCCGTCACGGAGTCAAGGACCCTGTGGAGCAAAGCCGCCTGTCAAACAGAGACTGGAATAAAATTCTATCTGGCTCCGCCGCGAGCGCTAGGAAGCCGGTTTTAGAAGGTAGGAACAATTTCGTCCTTCACCTTCGCGGTGAGGTGCTGCTACTGCAAGTAATAGAACCGCAGCTTTCCGTCGGCTCCACATCCCAGGAAAATTTCTCGAAGCTCGTGATGGCTCTCACCTTGGTTTCCCGCGGCTGAGAGCTTGGAAGGACTTGCCTTTTGGGTAAACGCCTGCGGGCCAACATGGTACTGCTTTTAATTGTGCCAAAGGGTAGCTTCGGGGGTCCTGACGACGCTATTGCGCTGACGGCTCGCAAAGGGCCTCCTGGCATGAGGAAGAGCACGACCGTTTAGAAGCGCGCTGCCTTCGGATCTGCCCGAGACTCTTTTGTCGTGGCACTGATCGACTTCGACTATCGTAGTCGAATAGAATGTGGTATAACACCACATTGTCTCGATAGCCGAGCTTATCTTATGCGTTGTTCCTTGAGCAGTAAGATGTCAATTATCTTTGATATGAATTGCACATGATTAAAGTCAACGGCATGATGAGATTCTCTGCATCATGAATCGGGCGCCATCCTACCACGATTCTACCGCTCAGCCTTCATATACCTAGATGACGCCGCAAGCCTCCATATATTATGCGCAAATATGTCTGTAAATATCACAACCATCCATCATACTTCTTTACTTGTGCTTATTTATCTTATTTTTATATTTATACACGGCAGAACAACTTACGGAGGGCATTCAAGTACCATGATAGCCTCGTGCCAGATTCTTCCTGGCTTTTACGATATGGCAGCCAAGCAATATCATCCGGGCATGCCTATCTGTCCCTCCAAGTCAAGTATGCGGTAACCGAGACACCAGTTAAAAGAGAGATAATATGCCGGACCATTTCACACGAAACCGACATGCTGAGATGCTGAAATACATGAAAGATTATGCGAAAACCAGAAATCTATTGGCCTATGGTCTATAACATGTCCATGCCTGATCGCTCAGTAGCTTGTGTCTTATTTATATTTTCAAAGAATAAACCGAGGTCCATCCATGAAATCAAAGGCAAAGAACGCCATGAACCGATCTATCCATCCCATGCAGAAAACATAATACGAGACAGCCGCTCTCAGCAATCCGGGACACTGACCGGGATATGCAGCGGTACACTGGTTGCGAGCCCACTGAGACTCGTTTCCTTGAACTCATTCCGCATGCCCTGTGCAGTGAGCCGCATGGCCCGGATCGCATCGTCCAGACTGACCTTCTGCGTCCCTGCCTCGCTGCTCAGTGCCAGATTTGCGCTGCTGATAGCCTTGATGGCTCCCAGCGCATTTCTCTCAATACACGGGGCCTGTACCAGACCGCCGATCGGGTCGCACGTCAAGCCCAGGTTATGCTCGATACCAATCTCGGCAGCCTGCTCAATGGTCTCGGGTGACGCGCCCATGCACGCGGCGAAGGCACCGGCGGCCATGCTGCATGCAACACCCACCTCGGCCATGCAGCCACCCTCGGCAGCAGAAATGGTAGCGCCACGCTTGTAAAGCATGCCAATAGCGGAAGCAGTCAGCAAGAAGGTGAGGATGTCGCGGTCCGGGTCATCGCTGACGAACTCAACCGTGTATTTGAGAACGGCGGGAATTATACCAGCTGCACCGTTGGTCGGCGCAGTGACAATGCGGCCGCCAGCTGCGTTCGTTTCATTGACAGCCATTGCGTAGACAGTCAAATAATCCATCGCTGGGAGTGTTGTGCGCCGCTGTGGTGAGGGTAGAATAGGGTGGTAAAGGGACCCATGAACACGGGACAGTCCGCGTTTGCCATTCGTCCCCCTTCGGCTGACTGCCGTTGGGGCGCCCGACTTTGGAGTTTCTGCCAAACTTGTCGGCGTTGAGGGTTGCTTGGCATCCTTTTCTGCTGCAGAGGGAGACGAGAGTTGGCCCTGATATGTCGATGTGCCAGATGTTTGTGTGTGCGAGGGATAGAGACCTCTGGTCAGTCGTCGGTAGAGAGCTGGTGCGCGGCGGTGCAATTTGAGAGAACCAGGTAATGTCGTGTCTAGGGGGGCTTGGACGCCTTCTAATATGCTCTGATCCATGACTTCCCAGATACGGAACAGCTTCTCCATGATTTCCTCATCTGTATAGCCATTGCTCTTCTCATTCTCATACACCAGCTGAGCAATCGTCAAATTGTGCTTGTTGCATAGCGCCAGTAGGCTCTGAGCATCACGAAATGCGTACCGAGGGCTCTGGGCACTGGTATCTGTGCTTTCGGTCTTGTGATCTGCAGGGGCCGATCCAACAGATGAGCTCGCCCCTGCCACGTCCACCAAAGCCGTCGCGTCGTCGCCGTCCTCCTGAAGCTTCACCCCAGACCCAGTTCGTCGATCACCTGCGGCATCCGCTCGCCTGATTTCCTTGTAAAACATGTTCTCTGCCAAATCGGCCGGATGCCCACCACTGCCTTCGGCCTGAAGCTCGTTGCCATCAGGTAGTGAGCTTTCTGGGGCAGGCTTGGCTGATGCTGAAGTCGAGGTTGAGAGCGCCCCGTTGACTACGAAGCCACCACCGACACTGAATAGGTCGTTGGTCGCCAACATGTTCCCGTCCTTGTCGAAGACGGTGAAGCGCATACCATTGCTGTGTAAGGGCAGCTTCTTCCCCCATTGCCACTTGAAGTCCTTGTCGTAGTCGAAGTCGATTTCCTTACCCTGGTCATCAGGTAGACCATGGCCCAAGTGCAGCTTCTTCAAGGTCTTGATATCCGCGAAGCGCGTGGGCACATACGCCGTATCAACGGATTCCACATCTGCACTCTCCAGGCCGAGCAGTAATGCCGAGGGTGTCATGTGACCCTCACCTGTCAATGCCAGACTCCCGTACACAGACACATGAATCTTCTGCACGCTCTGCAGTAAGCCAGCCTCGATCAAGTCGGTGATGAAAATGTTGCCCGCTCTCATAGGGCCCACTGTGTGCGAGGAGGACGGCCCAATACCGATGGAGAACAGGTCGAAGGCCGAGATGACAGCGTGCTCGTGGTCGGCTTCGCTGTAGGTGCCTGTATCTTGCTCGTCGCCATCGTTCGCATTAGATCTGGTCCCGCTGATGTGCCGGGTTTGCGCCACTTGTGGCCATGTTCCGACTGCTGCACGGTGAAGGCGTAGCTGATGTCTCGAGACGGTACTGGCACCATGAAACCAACTGCGCGCCAGGACTGGCGACGGAAGCCGGGAACGACATCCCACTCGACCAAGCCGCTGTATTGCTGCACGGTTCATCGTGATGCCTCAAGCTAGGTGTTAAGCTGATGTGCTGACGTTATCTTGAGCGGTCTGCACGGTGAGTTGCGGAGTTGGCGGTCTCTAAGGACGACGGCCGTGCCCTCGCTCGACCGCAATCGGCCTGTGTTTTAGTACGAGAAGTGAGATAGCTTTAAGCTGTTATGAATGATGATATTTATACGTAGTAGCAGCGAGTGATGTGCTATTGCCAGCTATTCGAAATGGTAGTCTGCTGCGAGCCAAGCCGATGGCAGTACAGCCAAAAGCGAAGCTCCTTGATAGCGAGCTCGATCCAATGGCATGACGACAATTTGCAAAGGTGGTCTAATTCAGGCACAGAGCTTAGGCCACCAACTGGTAGGCCAAGATAAGATCTCCAGGGGACCCTGCGGGCATGCATCAGTACTTCTGGCCCTTATCAATGATAAGCATCTCTTCCCCCTGGACCCCTGGGGACCCTCTTTGGCCCTACTTCAGCCATCACGGAAAAATTCTAAGCTCGATACCTTATCCATAACACCAGTACGAAAATGGGCAAAAGATTAAAAGATTGGAATTCATGATCAATGAGAGGCTCGAACTCTCGGCCTTGGCATTACTTGATATTCACCACACAAGGTGGTGGGATATTAGTACCACGCTCTAACCAACTGAGCTAATCGATCCCGTTGGATGTTTCGCCAGGTGTCTACCGGGCTCTATACAATAAATCCCAGCTCTAAAGCATCTTCGAGTCCTTGTTTAGGTAGGCTGGCCTTGATTTGTTCTATTACTTAGAAGGCCCCGGGTGGCTACTCGTGATGTTTTTTGCATAGGTACCTCTAGAAGCCTTGCATCATTGCGGAAACCCAATAGAGTGGTTCCTCTGTAGTATTTGTAGTGGCAGGTACGGGATGTGCTATTATAAGCCTATACGTAAGATAAGAGACTAGGTATAAGACGCGTCCACGCTGTGGAATACTCGGTGTCACCGGTCTTGCTTCCAATGTGACTACTATCCTTCTGAAGGTGCTGCTACTTCTCAGTTTTGGAATCATAGTGAGTGCAACTGTCGTAGGAGTAGCCGTTACGTTCCTAGAGACCACAAGTCACATGTTCAAACAATGGGCAGGTTTCAATAGACATAGACTGGTCACACTGAGCAAGTCTTGGCTTGTTAGACGCACCCATGTTTCTAGAAAGTAGAGCTATATCCGATTGCCTAGGTATTTGAGGGCTGTAGTTGCTTAGACACGTGTGTTTATTGTGTCTTGATTAAGATAATGACAACTCTGAACTTATGGCCGACGGGGGCTTCGGCTTCGAACTCGCTGATTATCTGAGGGGAGCTGGAGACCAACTTTCGGTGTTAATGGGACGTCTTTTCCGATGATAACTCCAGCTGTCTCGGAAATGTCGGAGTCTGTCACACTTTCAAGTTCCATCTCTTCATCTGGAATTCGATTTGGGCCTGTGTTGGTTTGATCCATAGGTGTTCTCTCGTGCTGGTGAAGCTTCATGTTGACGAACATGGCGTACAGACCGAAGTCATAGGCCAGTCGGAAACATCCAGCGGCGACAAATGCAATCCAAAAGCGCTCACTTGCAGCAAGAAAACCAGTTACAGTGGGACCTGTCATTGCCGCAAGTGTTCTGAAGGTGCCCGTGATGCCCATGACCGCTGTCCGCTCTTCGGGTCTGACCACGGCGGCGATGAAGGCAGCACGGGGCGCTTGATCCATATTGTTGAGCCCGGCGCGAACAAGCAATAACAGCGCCGTCATCCAGAAATGGGGTGGAAGAGGGAAAAGCAAGACGGCTGTCGACGATGGTATGTGTGTGAAGACCATAGTGTTGATCAAGCCGATCTTCCGGGCCAATGGACCGGCAAATACGGCAGCCACCGCCCCCAAGGCGTAGCTGACCGAAGTCACATCACCAAGGGTAGACTTCTCTGGATGGAACTTAACGTCCATATAGTAGTTCGTTAACGAGTAAGGAACCATTCCATCAGCCAGCGAGTCTACGACGAGCAAGAACCACAGCTTATACATCACTGACCTCGTGGGTGCCGAGATCTGAATGAGACGGTTGGCAACCCAAGAGAGTCCCGGTATGCGACCAGCTACGGAGTTTGTTGATGAGGGCGCCGGCCTCCTCGTGTTCGTAGACTCTTCGATGGGTTCGCTTGCGTCTTCGTTTTGAGGGAGGCGAGAATAGCTCTCAGCTGATTCTTGAAGCTCACAGTCTTTTGTTAAAGGAAGGACCAAGAGAAGGTTCACCACACCCATTGCTGCATAAATCCAGAATAGTGCATGATAAGAATCAGCCTCGGACCATCCGTCCTTCTGCTGCAGGAAATGAAGCACCCTTCCTGATACTTCGCTGCCAAGAGCAGACCCAAGTACTACAGCATCGAGAATCAGCATGTGTCCCAATGTTAATGCGGATAACGCGCTGAATATCAACAAACATGTTGCACGTGGGCAAGCTTCCGGTACTGCCAACGTAGGCACTTGTGCAATGGTCTTCCGTGTTACTCACAGGGTATGCTCACGTGCCATGCCAGGACATCAGATCTGGTTGCTGGGGTTGTGAGCTGGGACAGTATCGACCTGAGATCTTGGTCAGAACCACCTTCAGCTTTGATTATAGTACCGGTAGCACTTACTCCTCTATGCTTCGGAAGGGGCCAAAGTCGCCGCCAGTAATACTGATAACTCCGATAATCGCACCAAGAAGCAATATCCAGAAGTTCTCAGATAGCGCAAATATGACACCGCTTAGGATCATCAACGTCGATCCAGCCATCAAAACTCGTCGTCTTCCGAGGCGATCTGCAACGAGCGACAGAAATGTGCCCAGAACGACATCGCCCACCAGCGTCAAGGTCATGAACAACCCAATCTGATGATCGGACACGCCCAGCGCCGAGAAGAATATGGCTGCCAGAGATCAGACCGAGACAACGAGTCGCCGTCTCACTTTTGACTGCGTACGCCCACTACTTACCTAGTATCAGTGCATTTGTCCCGTAAGCGAACATCCGGCACGTCCTCGCCAGTATGATGAGATAAGCATTACGGCCAGTGTTGTGAATGGATGCAATGCCGAACTCATGGTAAAACCATTGGACGGCACGCAAAGCGGCTTGCATTGTTGATAATCCGACGACGCAGCAGTTGATTCGACAAAAGTCCGAGTGTTGAAGGGCAATTAGGCTTTTTGGGTGCATGCAGAGTCGGGGTAACTGATTGAAGCTTGAGAGGTCTGGTAGAGCCAACGGCCGGTGTCGCTATTGCGACATATGGAGAGGGGCCTAGGACGGCCCAATCCGGGCCAAGCCCCGGGTATAACACGCCGCTAACGCCCATCGTACGCCGCTCACCGCCGAGGTTTTATGTCACTTTTGCTCACGAGCCTCCATACAAGCGATTTGTATAGTAAAAGCTTGGGTGCTCTGAAAGACGTCTACTTAGTATCGAAGTGCACCGGTGGACTGTCGGGTGACCAAAGCTGAAGAGTTCCTCTACACCACATCTACTGCCAATCATTATGATTCAACATACGTCTGACTCTCTATAGACATCTATGGCTCCATGATAAGTTATCTATCAATCTGCGACGCATGTATCAGTGGTTATGAATGTTCGTGACGCAGTCATGTTGACTGACTGTGAATAATCATCGAGGTTGGCTCATGCGACACTGTGTATAAAGGGCGCCTGGTCCACTGCTCGGGACATTTCTTACTTCCATGGCACATCGGTGTGACCTTTGCTTTGTAGCCAAGATGTTTCCTGCCCACTACATGCCTCAGGTTCAAGATTATCAAGCCCATCCCACGCCCCAACTGTGTTCGCTTAGTGTTCCATCAGCATGGAGCTCGAACCCCATAAGCTTTTCCAATGAACAGGATGGGGTAATCATACCTGGCACTTATCATGCCAACCAGCCTGGTGCCAGAAGCCGCAGGAAGCATAGCGTGAGGTACTATTTGAAGAAGCAGATCGCTCTACAGAGAGAGCAGCAGGAAAACATCTCTGCTTATCTGTCAGGAATGAACAAAATCCTGGGAAACTTAACTACCCAAGTGAAGATGCTTCGAGAGCAAAAGACCTTGTCTTACAGCTCGGTTTATAGACCATCTTTGCCCAGCCTGAATCCCATGAGCCGCGATATTCCACCCTATCCGAAAGCTGTCTATCCATCAACCGACGAACCTGCCCCTGGCTCAGCTGAGGACGCCTTCGAATCTGGTATGTCAGACATAAGTACTGCTCACGATGCTCACAGCATGTCACCGACATTCCATTTGCTCGAGCTCGAACTTGAGCTTACCCGCGGTCGCCTCGATGATCTCCGTGCCATTGTTCACCAGGCTCCCATCGAGAACGTCCGTGACGCAGTACAACAGCTAGCGGACGGCCTAGAAGAGAACATCAACTCGGATCTCCGGCGTCTGCGGTACATCAACGGTACACACTTCAGGGACATCACCCATGGGTCTCCCATAGTCCAGCCTTCATATCCTCTGTCCAGCGCGCCGCTTTCGCACCGTTTCGAAGCCCCAGCCATGCCTTCCTATCCCCCGTCAATTCCGCATGAGGGCTCGGCCATCCCCGACTAGCGCGCTTGGGTACAGCAACGTCGCCCCTACAACCGATTCCGCAGTGAATAGAGAGTCCAGCACAGAGCATTCCGACCGCACCTTGGGCGATGGGCCCCCTTACTATTGGGTAAGATCTACAGATCCAGCTTCTTTGACCGCCCCCGCATGACATGATTCCTCTGCCGTACCTGTGCTCCGGTGTCAAGGGCACACAACTGAAGTCGCAATGGCGGATGAGGAAGCCGCACTTGGCCAAGTCTGGTCACAGATTAGCTCGGATCCGGACTGGGACAGCATGGGAGACGTAGAGGCAAATGCAGTACCCAAGCGGCCATACAGTCGATGATGAGTCGTCTTTTACAGTCTATTCTGTATGAGAATTGACTACTGCCATGAAAGAGGAGAGCCAGGTATCATATGAGTGAAATACATAGTAACATGTACTTTTACTGGTGTCTGGAAAGTTTAAAGTTCCCTACAATTTGACTTCTCATCTTTCAAACATTCGGTACGATCTGTTGCACGAGTATCGTTATAGAAGACCACCCCGGATATGCTTGAATTAACATCCAGGGAGTTTGATAGGGTAGATTCAGTAGGCTACAGTAAATGGTCTAACTGGAGTGGTATCTGATTATGATTTCATTATATTTTATGCATGGGAAGAGAGATGGCGCTTCGAAATGACATGCATCAACACGCCAGCATGGTATTCTGTGGCCTTACAACTTCATTCGAGGTATGCAATGTAGTGGACACAGGCGGCCATCGACCCGGATGGCTGGAGCGTGCTACTGCAAACGGCGCCGTGGCCCGAGGAAGACCATGCAAGTGAGTTGGCATCGCGGCAGAATGCAACTAGTCAATCTGCAAAGCTGGAAGAAAGATGCACCAAAACCGTTCATTGGTCACCAATACATGGCACAGGCTGATCACTTGCAGTGTGGGGAAAAAAGTGAGGCGTGCAGAGGGAGAGAGAGGAAGAGTGGGAGAGTAGCTGTCGGAGGATCCAAGAGAATCGTGAACTGGATCGACTGAGCGTCGCTAAAGCGAAACGACCTTTGTTCTGAATCA